CATGTAAGTATCCCATTGGCTTCTCATTTGAAACTTAGTTCTCAATTATCTCCTAAAACTAACGAAGAACGAGTGTATATGGCAAAAGTTCCATATGCTAATGCAGTTGGGAGCTTGATGTATGCAATGGTGTGTACGCGTCCTGACATTTCACAAGCAGTTGGAGTTGTGAGCAGGTACATGCATGATCCTGGAGAAGGACATTGGCAAGCTGTGAAATGGATTCTACGGTATCTCCAACAAACCGTGGATGTTGGTTTAGTTTTTGAACAGGATAAAGCACTTGGTCAGTGTATGGTTGGATATGTTGATTCCGATTATGCTGGTGATTTGGATAAGCGTCGATCAACTACTGGGTATTTGTTTACTCTTGCTAAAGCCCCAGTAAGTTGGAAGTCTACATTGCAATCTACGGTAGCCTTGTCTACTACAGAGGCAGAATACATGGCAGTTTCAGAGGCTGTAAAGGAAGCAATTTGGCTTAACGGGTTGATGGAAGACTTGGGAGTTGTTCAAAGTCACATTAGTCTCTATTGGGACAGTCAGAACGCTATTCACTTAGCGAAAAATCAATTCTACCATTCAAGGACTAAGCATATCGACGTGAGGTATCACTTTGTACGGGAGATCTTTGAAGAAGGAAAGATTCTACTTCAGAAAATTGCGACATCAGAAAATCCTGCAGATATGATGACCAAGGTGGTAACAGTAATCAAGTTCAATATTTGTTTGAACTTGATTAACATCCTGAAAGTATGAACACCTTCGGGTGTGTGGCACTTGTGAGCGCAATTAGAGGCACTACAAATTTGGGGAGTTGAAGAAGTTGAGTAGGCTTGGTAATTTCAAGCCAAGGTGGAGATTTGTTAGATCTGTCTAGAAATTAAGTTGACAAGTTGGAAATTTCATCTTGGTTGGTGGCCAAACTTTGAACATGTGAATTTCATATTTGGTGGCTAACTTGTACACATTGGAAAATTCTTTGGTAGGTGGCCAAACTTTGAACATATTGTTCTTGAAACTCAACTATAAATAGGCCTAAGTATTTCCATTAGAAATCATCCCAAAAACAAGTTCTCTCTTCCTCTTGTATTCTTCATTCTCCCACTTTGGGAATTCCAAAGAATTCCATTTGTTGTAATATTGGCGATATAGTGAAGTTATCATCCGGTGTGGTGCCCGAGGAGTAGACAATATTCTCGTCGAACCTCGTAAATTTGGTGTGTTCTCTCATTTATTGTTTTTTATTCGATTCTTTTCCATTGTGTTTCAATATTCAATAGTTTGACAGGTTTATCCGCTGTGCAACCTTTGGTGGTTTTAATCTTGACATTTTAGGTCAATTTTAAAACTACGTTCGTGTGGGAAATAACCCGTTTTCCCCAACACTCCACATTACCCCTTGGATGATCTTCCACATTTCCTTGAGACTTGCCAACGCCCTGTGCGCCACCAGGAGCGTGGCCGAATGTCTTTTGTTGAATTCGGCTCTTAATTCGGGTAGTTCTTTCCCCTCGTACGGTATAACGAGATAGGGTAGTAGAGGATAGCCAACATCTCCAATTATTTATTCTCTTATTTCGGATCCTTCTGGGAGCACGAGTTTTTTCCCATTCAATCTCTCCCCTTTGTCACACATATTATAGAAGTTCGAACTCTGAAACACCAACCAGTCTTCAGTTTTACCAGGCCGGCCAGTGACTATGTCCCTGAACCTCATGGCCGACATTATAGGAAAACAAATGGTGTTGGCTTTGCACTTCTGCCTAAGCTGATATAACACCCTTATCTCAATCCAAATACATTACTTTTAATTACTTGATTAGACATTCCATTCATTGTGGTCAAGGTGTGAACCATAGATGGAAACAGCTACGTTTGATTTAAAGGCCGATTCAAGATAAATCTGCTGACAAAACATGATTATGACACACATGGGATTAGTTTAATACTACTTCTCACAACACCTTTTAAATAAATTATATATCAAATCATATTTATAATTTTATAATGAATATAAGTAAGGCGTAAATTTTTAGTTTGATACATCACAACTCCATCTCCACCTCATAATGAGATTATATAAAGATTATTTAATAAAATATAATCTAAAACTCGAACTCTATCTCTTCTCCTATTTTGATAAAAATATTTAATCATTATTTATATAGATTATTAGACAAAGAAGAGGTAATAGAGATAGATGACATATATATTATTTCTTCAAGGTATTTTAGTTCAATGATTCGTAAGATTTTTTTTTTATCTTTATATACTTTATCATTTTTAACATTTTTATATTTATTATTGATTTATATAGTGTGTGAAATGATAATTCTATAATTTATTAAATATTTATATTGTTATTTAAAATCTTCTCATCTATCTATAACTGTGGGCATATCTTAATCTAAGTAGTAAAATAACTTAGGAACAAGTTATGAAGATATAAGATCTAACTTGAATCATCCATGTTGGAGTAAATTAGTTAGCTTAGCGTTAAATCCCTTCGATTCTAAAAGTTGTTGAATAGATTAAATCAATAAGTGAAGTAATTGTTCGAACGTTTCTTTGATTACTGAGAAGTTATGAAAAGATTAAATTAATCGAACATCCCGAATAATTATAATCAACCTATTAAATTAAACTTTACACTTTACAATAGCTGGATACCTCATCATTACCGATAATCTCTTTATTTACGATTGTACTTTTTTTCATTTAAGTCTTTTTAATTTAATTGTCATTATACAAACCCTCTTTATTTTATTTTCTTTTTTTTATAAGATTAATTTAATATCACTCTCTATAAATTCGGTTGTGCTTACCACAACAGTAAAATTTATTTCTTCAAGTATATGCTATCTCTTAAGGTCTCAATAACCTGTCAAATTAACCAAAACTTCAAATTTAACTTTGGCATAAATATAACTTAACTTTCAAAATTCGAATTTACTCGTGTAAAACCAATTCATACCCATGAATTGTATTTCAATTAGAATATTATGTCTTTGATGAACTTAGAAAATGCATTACTGACCCCAACTTTTATGATCTTAGATAAGTGGGTAAAAGTGGTCCAAGAAAGCACACAATATTTTGTTTATCATTAAATCTTGTCTTAGCCTTCGACTAAATTACCAGGTGCGTCCCTACAATCACCAGTGTTGCACATTTATGTAGAATCATCATCATCAAGAAATGATTGTTTCTTTCTCTTATAGTTATTAACAGCTAATCAATGCTTAATTACTTGTTCTATAATGCTTAATCCACCATCCCGAACAAGGGGACCTTTGTTTTCAGTATATAACAAAACTGAAAAGCATAAAAAAAAAAAACTTATCTTTTAGCATCATCAACATTATCATTTTATCATATTACATTAGATGTCAGGAAAACCACTAATATAAGCATTAGTAGAAGCAAAGATGAAGCCACATCCCACTTCAAATATTGTTCTCCTCGTCATATTGTTTATCATGATTTAAGGGGCAACGGTTAACGTATTAATCCAAAATTGAAATGAAACTAAACCCTAAATTATGCTCTCGTTTGAGCTTTTTGGTAGCCATTACAGGGCTCCTATCAACCATTTTTCAAGAGGTTATCAGCCAGAGATGAAGACAAAAGCATGCATGTCAACTTCATTGAACCGAGAGTCACATTGCGAACTTGACACAGGGCAGTAACCACCATCATTTTCTGTGTATATTCTGGTAAAGAAGAACTATCATCTCTAATCAGTTGCAACTTCCATGAATTCAAGTGTCATATCATATATATATTATCTTGTATAAAGTCCCTACAATACTTTAAGCACCCAAAGATTTATTTATTTTAATCAATTGATTATCTCGATTAAGTAGAAATGAACTATAGATCGTGTAAAATCAGTATCATACTAACAATCGGAGCTAAAAGTATAAATAGTCATTAAAAATAGAAAAAAATATTAAAATTAGGGTCTAGGTAAATAAATTTCTCTATATTCTTTAATAAAAAAAATTGGGGGGCAACCCACCCCGGAGCTCTACAGAGTTCCATCCCTGTTCGATGCTAATACAAAGATTTATAATAGTAATTTTGATCACTTAGACCTTCTGAAACTGAAGCATAATATCCTAAAAAATCTTCTTCTAAAGATAACTTTTTGCAAAATTAATCTAAAATGTTATTGGAAGTGATAACACTTTGCAATCTATCTATCTATCTAGTCTGAATTTCATAAGTATTAAAAGTGATTGATCAAAATATCGTCCTAAAATATTGAATTTTAAAATATTTTATCATGTTTATATATATATATATATATATATGTATGTATGTATTTGAAATACCATTGAACATCATTTGAGAAGGATCATGCTCCAGGTCTTATATTTTTACTGGCAGTTGATCGAACTGAAAATAATATATTGTGGAGCCAAGACAATTTGACCTCATAACATCTCCTTTACATTGTTCATGATCTTTTGAGCACTAATATAGCACTATGTAAAGGAAGATAGGATTGATAGGCATAAAATCATTTGGTTTCCTGTGCAAATTCCTTGACACTCCTCCTTGGATGATAATCATTTAGTAGCATTTTTGTTGTGTTTTTTCATCAAACGGAACCTTTATTTGCACTTAGCTTGCTAAGCTAATGATATAGAAGTTCACATTGAAGCAACAGATGCATAAGGTAGCTATCACAAACGAGTACGCCCGCATTAACTTATCAACCTATCACATTTGAAGATTGCGTCAACTTATCAACCTATCACTTTGATTATTTTGGATCCATATAGTGGTTGACATCAGATGCATAAGGTAGCTATCACAAACGAGCACGCCCGCATTACAAGTAACTATTGCTACATCATCATATAATGCCAAAAAAAAAAAGACAATCAACAGAATCTCGACAACGGCAAAGTATAGTTTTGAGTATAAATATGAGACGTGTACACCCCACAAGGTCACCATGAACCAGCAACATTACCAGGAAGAATCAGAGAAAATGGAGCATGAGAAAATCCGAAAGGGACCGTGGACGGAGCAAGAGGACATGATTCTGATCAACCTTGTGCACTTATTCGGAGATCAGCGATGGGATTTTATCGCCAAAGTTTCAGGTCTGAAGGTTTGGCGGGAGAAAAGACAACAGATAGGTAGGATTATCTTGAAGATTGGAAGGTCTTGGAATGAGCCCTGGTTTAACAAAATGAATTTTTGTTGTAGGTTTGAACCGAACCGGGAAGAGTTGCCGGTTACGTTGGGTTAATTACCTTCACCCTGGTCTCAAAAGAGGCAAGATGACACCCCAAGAAGAGCGTCTTGTTCTTGAACTTCATGCCATATGGGGAAACAGGTTCGACATTATTCAATAACGTTTATAAAAATATGTATTCTGTTTCCCTTGGTTTGATGATCTTGAATTCACTAGGTACATAAACATGATAATGATGCGCAGGTGGTCGAGAATTGCTCGGAAGTTACCGGGGCGTACCGACAACGAGATCAAGAACTACTGGAGAACTCACATGAGAAAAAAGGCTCAAGAAAACAAAAAGGCCATGTCACCATCATCTTCATCTTCCTCCAACAGTCATTCGTCGTCGTCAAGCACCGGAAAGGTAAGTTTCTATGACACCGGAGGGCCAGACATGGCAGACTTGGAAGGGGAGAAAAGTTGGGAATTCGAAGACGAAAAGGGGTATTCCATGGATGACATATGGAAGGATATTGATATGTCTGAAGAAAATATGATAAAACCTTCGAGTGATAACTATAACGACCATTGCTTGGATTCACTGTGGAAGATGGATGAAGAAGAGAGTAATATGTTTCCATATTTAGCCGGCTAGTTAGAATTCATTTATTTATTCATAATATGTAACACTACTTGTCTCCTGGGGAAACTCTTTAACATCTGGGTGTTTTCGTATCTCATCTTGCTACATATCACTGTAATCACCTCATGCTAGCTCTAGTCTTCACTAAGGCCATTTAAATTATGATTTGGGTGGCGGATGTAATGAATACCATTACATAATATATATAAAAGATGTAAAATAGCGGGGCTATTTTGAACCTGTTTGAGGATCTTCTAAACACAATGATTTCACATCAACTGAGCGATTCAGTTATTGAATTCAACCAATTATTCAAACCCCATCACTATAAATGCTAAATTAAGCTCATAATTTCCTTTTTAAATTTATCTTTGAATGAATGGAAGACTTAATCTTCAATGGAAAAGCTTCCCTTTTCCTTTCACTTTCACCATGATATATTCAAGCACACATCTGTTAGTATAGGATACAGGAAACACAGGCAAGATATCAGTGATAAGTGAATCAATAGGGAGACGTGTTGTAGCAAAGCGAGTTGCATTATCACCCTAGCAGAACTAAAAGTCGGATATCACTATATCGATCGATTGTCTAATTAATACCATTATTTTTTTAAACGTTGTTTTCGTAAAAATATATATATATATATATATATATTATAAAGAAAATATAATTGCCAAAATGATATTGAACAAGTAGGAAGATGACATGCATGAATTTTACCAATCATTACAAAAGGTATTATTATTGTAACCAAGTGACGGATCTAGAAACGTTTTTAGGATAGACACATATTAATAATATAATTTTTTTATCTAGATAGATATGATAAAATTTCAGGATGAACACGATAAAATTTCAAAGGCACGCATATATTAGTAAAAAAATTGAGTTTTAAAGAAAAAATTCGAATTTAAAAAATTTAAGCATGACATACCCACCCTAAGACCCAGGTACATCCGCCACTGATGCGAGCTAAACTCGGCTGAATCTTCATGATAAATGACTTAAAAAAAAGTGAAATAAATTCGTTGACAATCACCCCACTGGTTCACTTGTACTTGAATTTTACTTCTCAAATCCTTCTGCATCTTCCCCTACTTTTCAAAATTATTACCACGAGTTGGAAGCGGCATATTCTACGACTTTCTTTCTTTTAAATATTAAATTTAGGGTAAATTATTCTGGTAACCACTTAATTATTAAATCATGCTTTTGATTATCCCAAAATATAACTTCATCAACTCTATTAAAGAGGGTAAATTATATATTTCACCACTCAACTTTTTCTCATTCTTATTTTGGTCCTTTTAAAAAAATATAGTTTACTCACTAAACTTTCAATTAGTTCTTATTTTGGTCAGAATCCGTCCATAATACTTAACGGTGTTATGGCTAGACGTATTTCTTTCAAATATTATGAAATGGCCTCCAAACCTTCTTCACTTTTTGTGAAAAAAACCTATGGTTTCATATTCTTTTGAATTTCTTGTTTATTAAGCATTTTCATTCAAATCTCAACCATGGAAAGATGGAGGAGGGAACGAGCCGTATATCTTGATGAAGAATCTTCACCTATATATATTGTTACCTCTATTAAATCAAACTAAACGTAACAGTAGATTTTTTCCTTTGATAGGTCAATGTTTGATCAAAAAGTAAACTGTCTTGATAAATGCTTGCTTCTCAATTTATTTTTCATCTGATTATAACATGTCCAGGAGGTACATGCAATTTTCATAGTGGTAACATTTTTTGCTTGGAGCCTAACTGAGGTGAGTAAATGTATTAATCTATCTACTTGAATTCAGTATCTATAAATACAATGTGACTTTGGAATGAGCTTTTATAGCTGCGTGTTACCTAATACAGTTTTTGTGATTATATTGATCAGATAAAAAAGCATTTTTGGATCTAAATTTATTTAAATTGGGTAGAAATATTGGACAAATATGAAATGATATTAACACGTTTAAGTGGAATCAACCATTAACAAAAGAGAGATACAAATAACAGCTCTCATCTTGAGGGTAAATTTGACTCAATACCGTAGGCGGGTTAATTATTAAGCCCAATATGGTACTAGATTTTTATTTATTTATTTTGGGAATTATGATATTTGATATAGTGACTTAGAACTCATTTCGTCAGCATGAAGAGTTCCAATAATATATATATTTTTATTGAAACTTGTCACTCCAATGTGATAATATTTAATAAAAATTATATTTTAGTAGAACTGAAAGATTAAAAAATCTAATCAACGCTCAAACAAAATAACGATACAAAAAAATTTGTTTGCATAAGCAAACGAACCACAAAAGGGGATGAAACTACTGAAGGTCATTGACAAATCTCAAATTAGAGTCAAGCGACGTGAGAAAACTATCCATGAACGCAAAACGCGTATTCAAATCAATCCAAGGGTCCAAAGAAGGGAAGATCATCATGATAACAAATAAGCATCATCATGATCAGTCGTGGCGATGTCAAATTTATCCCTGAGAAAAAAGATAAATGAAAACAACAAATACATAATTATTCTTATTAAAAACTAGAAAAAAAGGAAAAATATAATCGGAGGGTGTCAACCAGCATCAAAATCGGTACCACCGTCGATTAAACAAAATTAAAGAAGAAAAAATGGATAATTTTGATAATTTCAGAAGAAATATATGATTAATTCAATCATTTTGCTCTTGTTCTTACACTCTTTCAATAATTTTAAAATATATCCAATGTGTGTAATAAACTAACAATTGTTATATATTAAAACAACTATAGAAGTGAAAATATTTTTTTTTTGGATAAGTAAAATTCATTCATCCAAAAAGGAGCAGACAAGCTGCTGTACAACGTATACCCCTATACAATCTATACAATTATATCAATCCCCAAGTAACACACAAATGCATATTTACAGCATCTAATCTGTTCATATGAGATCCATACAATTTAAATCTCACAGCATCCTTAACCCTACTTACAATAGTATCAATCGAACGAGCCACACCTCTAAAAAAAACCTGTGATTTCGTTCCTCCCAAGTGTAATAAATGAATCCAGTCCAAGCTAGCTTGAGAAGGTGAACCAGAAGAGACTTACCTTTGAGACTTTGTATCAACCACTGGAGGTGATCACTCTAGCATATGAACTCCTGGGCAAGGCCACAGGAGAGAAGAATAGCACGCCATATGCTCTTCGCAAAAACACACTCAGAAAAAATGTGATTACAAGATTTAGTACCAGAATTACATAGCCCACACGCAATATCTGTAGCCAAACCAAATCTTGCTAGCCTATCTTTTGTAGGCAATCTGTCCAAAATTGACATCAAAAAGATTAAAGAAAATTGCCTGGAAACCATACAAGGCGATGCCAGTTAACCTTCTCAAGCCTACTTCGAATATTGTCCCATATCCAACTAACCTTAACTTGAGACTAGTTGCTGTTAGAGCAAAACAGTCTCCAAGCATCACTTTTTAGCTTAAGCAGTTTAGCCAGAATCCAGCTAAAATTAAGCTTGTTTTCCACATTCCAAAAGTCAGCAGATCTAAAACAGTACACATTAATCCAAGCAATCCAGAGTGAGCCTTCCTCTACTAAAATTTTCTTTATGAGTAGCAAACAACAAGCTTTGCTCCAATCCAACAAGCTCCTTAACCCCAGGCCTCCCTCAGATTTCAAGGAATAAATATGTCTCTAACTAACCCGAGCACCCCTAGCAGGGGTGTCACCACCTTTCCAAAAGAATCTCATACAAAGTTTCTCAATATCCCTGATCACCCCTTTAGGCAGGATAAGTTGTCTGTTCCAATAGCTAAAGATACTAAACAACACAGCTTTAATGAGTTGTAATCTACCTCCAAAACTCAGCTTTTTACTTGACCATTTGCTAAGTTTCTCTTTAATTTTAACAACCAAAGCATAACAGTCTTTCCCTGTGAGTTTCCTAGTTACCAAAGGTACACCAAGATATCAGACAAGGAGTTTCCCAACTTTAAAACTAGTGTCATAATGAATCTGCTCAAGGACATGGTCAGATACACCACAAGCATAAATCTCAGTCTTCATGGCATTTATTCTAAGGCCAGAAAGATCATAAAAGACCTCTAAAGTGCTCAATACACCCAGCACAACATCAAGGGATCCATGGCAGAACACCAACAGGTCATCAGCAAAGCAAAGATGGCTGAGAGAAATCCGCTTGCATTTGGGATGATACTTAAAAATACCATTTTTGGCAGCAGCATCTAGTAAGTAGGAGAGAATATTCATAGCCAAAACAAAAAGGTAAGGGGATAAAGGATCCCCCTGCCTAACCCCTCTAGCACCATTAAAGAAACCTACCAGACTTTCATTCAATGAAACTGAATATTTAGGGGATGTGACACATGTCCGAATCCATCCACAAAACTTATCAGGCAGACCCATGGCCTCCAGCACAACCATAAAAAAATCCCAGTTCACAGAGTCAAAGGATTTTTGTAAATCAATTTTAATGGCACACCTAGGAGAAAGACTTTTCCTATAATAACCTTTGACTATCTCCTGGGCTAACAAAGTATTGTCAGCAATGTTTCTACCTTTGACAAAAGCAGGCTGACTAAGAGAAATCATTCCAGGGAAATAATGAGACAGCTTAGTGGTAAGGATCCTGGTGATGGTTTTGTAAACCACAGAACAACAAGAAATAAGCCTAAAATCTTTGGCCATGCAAGCATTTAGTGACTTTGGGACTAACACAATTGAGGTAGCATTAAAAGCTGGAAACAAGAAAGAGGAATGGAAGAAATACCTAATGGCAGCAAGGAAGTCACACCCAACCACTTCCCAAGCAGCTTTAAAAAACCAAGAGGAGTAACCATCAGTCCTTGGGCTTTTCCCATTTCCTTGCCTAAACAAAGCAACCTTGATTTCTTTGTCATCTACATCTTTAGAAAGAACATCTCCATCATCCTCTGGTAAGGAGAAATTTAATAGATTTTTCAAATAATCCACATTAGTGCCCT